CCCCTGGAAGCAGAGCCCTGCTCTAACAAAGAGTTAAAAGTCAACTAATAAGCTGGGGAAATGAGCAAACAACAGAAAAAAAAAAACCTCTGACTATAGAAAATTACTATGGTGACAAGGAAGATCAAAATACATACTCAGAAGAAGACAACAAAGTCAAAGCTCCTACATTCAAAGACTCCAAGAAAAATATGAATTGGTCTCAGGCTGTGTAAGAGCTCAAAAAAGATGAAAAAGCTAATGAGGAGAAGAATTGGCAAAATGGAAAAAGGAGGTACAAAAGCTCACTGAAGAAAATAATTCCTTAAAAATTAGAATGGAGCAAATGGAAGCTAATGACTTTATGAGAAATCAAGAAACAATAAAATAAAATCCAAAAAGTGAAAAAATAGAAGATAATGTGAAATATCCCATTGGAAAATAACTAACCTAGAAAATAGATCCAAGAGAGATAATTTTTAAATTATTGGACTTCCTGAAAGCCATGATCAAAAAAAGAGCCTAGACATCATCCTTCAAGAAATTATCAAGGAAAACTGCCGATATTCTAGAACCAGAGGGTAAAATAGAAATTGAAAGACTCTAACAATCAGCTCCTGAAAGAGATCCCAAAATGAAAACTGCCAGGAATATTCTAGTCAAATTCCAGAGTTCCCAAGTCAAGGAGAAACTATTGCAAGCAACCAGAAAGAAATAATTCAAGTATGATGGAACCACAGTCAGGATAACACAGTCAGGATAGCAGCTTCTACATTAAAGGACTGGAGGGCTTGGAATATGATGTTCCAGAAGACAAAGGAACTAGGATTACAACCAAGAATCCCCTATCCAGCAAAACTGAATATAATCCTTCAGGGGGGAAAAAATAGACATTCAATGAGATAGAACTTTCAAGCATTCTTGATTAAAAAAAAACAGAGCTGAATGGAAAATTTGAGTTTTGCCTCCTTTCCAAAGTATATAGAGAACTGAGTCAAATTTATAAGAATACAAGCCATTCCCCAATTGATAAATGGTTAAAGGATATGAACAGGCAGTTTTCAGATGAGAAATTAAAGCTATCTATAGTCATAGGAAAAAATTCTGTAAATCACTATTGATTAAAGAAATGCAAATCAAAACAGCCCTGAAGTACAGCATCACACCTATCGGACTGGCTAACATGACAAAACAGGAAGATGATAAATATTGGAGAAGATGTGGGAAAATTGGAACACTAATGCATTGTTGGTGGAGTTGTTAATTGATCCAACTGTTCTGGAGAGCAATTTGTAACTATGCCCAAAGGGCTATAAAACTGTTCATATTCTTTGATCCAGCAATAGCACTACCAGGTCTGTATCCCAAAGAGATCATAAAAATGTACAAAAATATTTATAGCAGCTCTTTTTGTGGTGGCCAAGAATTGGAAATTGAGGGGATGCCCATCAATTGGCGAATGTCTGAACAAGTCGTGCTATATGAATGTAATGGAATACTAATGTTCCATAAGAAGTCATAAGCAGGCAGACTTCAGAAAAACCCAGAAAGACTTGCATGAACTGATGCTGAGCGAAGTGTATGTACCAGGAAAACATTACACAGTAACAGCAACATTTTATGACAACCAACTTCAATAGACTTAGCTCTTCTCAGTAACACAATGATCTAAAACAATTCCAAAAGACTCGTGATGGAAAATACTATTCATCCAGAGAAAGAACTATGGAGTCTGAACACAGATTGAAGAGTACTATTTTTCCTTTTTTTTCCTTTTTCATGGTTTTTCCCTTTGATTCTAATTCTTCTTTACAACATGACTAACATGGAAATATGTTTAATATGATTATACATGTATGGCCTATATCAGATTGCACACCATCTTGGGGAGGGGAAAGGGAAGGAGGGGAGAAAATTTAAAACTCAAAATCTTATATAAAAGTGAATGTTGAAAACTAAAAATAAATGAATGTTTTAAAAATAAAAAAATTTTTGATTTTCAAATACAAGACTCTAGAGAAGCATAAATAGGTAAAGAGAAAAGAGAAATCATAAGGGATTTAATAATTTTAAACTGTTTACTTTCCTACATAGGAAGATGATATTTGTAACTCTTAAGAGTTTTCTCATTATTAGGGTAGTTAGAAGGAGCATATATAGACAGAGGGCACAGGTGTGAGTTGAATATAAAGGGATGATATCTAAAAATTAAAATTAGGGAATGAGAGAGGAAGGTACTGGGAGAAAGGGAAAGGTAGAATGGGGTAAATTAAGGCAACAAAAACTTTTACAGTGGAGGGGAAGGGAGGGAGCTGAGGGGGAGTGAGTGAACCTTACTCTTATCAGAATTGACTCAAAGAGGGAATAACATACACAATCAATTGGGTATAGAAATCTATCTTACTCTGCAGGAAAGTAGAAGGGGAAGCGGGTAAGAGAAGGGGCAAGGGAGTAATAGAAGGGAGGACATATTGGAGGGGGTAGCCAGAAGCAAAACACTTTTGAGGAGGGACAGAGTAAAAGGAGAGAGAAAATAGAATAAATAGAAATAGGATGGAGAGAAATACAATTAGCAATAGTAACTGTGAAAAAAAATTTTGAAGCAAGTTTCTCTGATAAAGTCATCATTTCTCAAACATAGAGAACTGAGTCAAATTTATGAAAAGAACCATTCCCCAATTGATAAATGATCAAAAGATATGATCAGTTTTTAGATAAAGTAATCAAAGCTATCTATAGCCATATGAAAAAATACTCTAACTCACTATTGATTGGAGAAATGCAAATTAAAACAATTCTGAGGTACTACCTCATACCTATTCGATTGGCTAATAGGACAGAAAAGATAAATGACAAATGTTGGAGAGGATGTGGGAAAAATGAGACTTTAATGCATTGCTGGTGGAGTTGTGAACTGATTCAAGCTTTCTGTAGAGCAATTTAGAACCATGTGCAAAGGATTGTAAAACCATGCATACCCTTTGACCTAGCAATACCACCACTAAGTCTGCATCCCAAAAGAGATAAAAAACAAAAAGGAAAAGGACCTATATGTACAAAAGAACTTATAGCAAGCAGCTCTTTTCTGGAGGTAAAGAATTAGAAGTTGAGGGCAAGTCCATCAATTGGGGAATGGCTGTACAATTTGTGATATGTGATTATGAGGGAACACTGTTGTATTATAGAAAATGATGAGCAGGAAACTCGCAGCAAAATCTGGAAAGACTTGCATGGGCTGATGCAAAGTGAAATGTACTATGTACAAAGTAACAGCAATATTGTAAGATGATCAGCTGTGAACGGCTTAGCTATTCTCAGCAATACAATGATCCAAGACAACTGTGAAGGATTTAAGATGAAAAATGCTATCCATCCCCAGAGAAAGAACTGATGGTGTCTGAACACAGATAGAAGCATACTTTTTTTAAACTTTCTTTATTTTTCTTAAAGGTTTTTTTTGGTGTATGTTTTCTTTCACAACATGACTATTATGGATATGTTATGCATGACTACACATGTATGAACTGTATCAAATTACTTGCCTTCTCAATGGGGGTGGGAGAGGAAGGGAGAGAATTTGGAACTCAAAGTTTTAAAAATGTTAAAAATTGTTCTTACATGGAACTGGGGGAAAATAAAACTAAAATTTTTTGAAAAAAATAAAGTGTGCAAAGCTCTCAACAAGTTATCATCTCATTTGATCCTAACAACAATACGGTGAGGTTGGTGCTATTATTATTATCCCCATTTTACAGATGAGAAAACTGAGGCTAAGGAGGTGAAGTAACTGGTTGAAGGTCACACAGCTAGTAAGTGTCTAAGGTAGGATTGGAACTCAGGTCTTTTGTGACTCAAATGCTGTACTACTTGGGTGCCTTGGTGAAAGAGGTCAAGTGACTTGACCAGTATCACTCAGTTTGTAAGTGTCTGAGATGGGATTTGAGTCCAGGTCTGACTACCCACAAACTCTTTCCACATCTCTGGCACTTGGCTTATAGCCCGTTTTATTATTATTTGTACTTTTTAAAATTCTAATTTGAATAGCTCTTTGTATAGTAGAGCTTGAAACCAAGTGCTGTAAGAGAAATCGCTGCCATAATTCATAATCAGCTTAAGAATGCTAGCTCTTGGACCCACGGTACAACTTTGGGCAGTTATTGGCAGAACTCCCAGACTCTCCCTTCGGATTACCACCCAAACCAGAAATTCCATGAGAAGTGTCTTTCACTAGAAATAAGGGCAAAGGATGGTAACACTAACAGAATGACTGCTGCAAGGAGGCAGAGATGTTTACCACCATGGATGGGACAGAATCACTGTGACAAGCATCTCAGCAAGGGAAGCCCAGACAGCAGGCCCTGATATTGGCATGGCATTGTTCACACATGTTATCTGATTCTTACAATGACCTTCTGAGACAGATAAGGCAGAAATTATTCTGTTGGGAGGATGGCACATGTAACTTTATTGGACTAGGAAACTCTTGTCCAGAGAGCCCCATCTATCAACACAATTTAGCACCTTCTCTACCCCATATAGTCAGAGGTATCTGAGCACACTTCCCCACTCCAAGGCCAGTTCTCTTTCCACTTCTCCACTCTGACTCTGTTTTATAATTCAAAAATTATCTTCAATTTGCAATCGATACAAAAGGAAATGAAAACACTGAGAACTTGGAATCACAGGACATTGGGAGCTAAAAAGGATCTTAGAGTTCACATTTTACAGAAAAGGAAACTGAGGCCCAGAGTGGCTCCAGAGTAGACCCTGACAATTTCTCCCACAGTGACTTTGGACAAGCCTCTTCCTTTCTCTTGGTCTCACTTTCCTCATCTCAAGCATCCCTGCCAGCTCTGAAATGCTATTATTCTGTGATCTTGCTGAATTTAGAAATAGCTTCCTAAACTCAATCAGCCCTTCCTCACACCCTGCACTCTGCCCCTAGGCACAAGGGAAGCTCTAACTGCCCAAAGGGACTGGCTGCACTGCAGGGGATGCACACAGAAGAGCTGTGTTCTTACCCTCTTCCCCTCTCTGGCTTCTTCCCCCTCTGGGCAGGCCTGGCAGCTTTCTTCTGTGGACTCAGGATCTCCTCCGGCTTCCAGCCTCCCGCTACATTTGGCATAACTGTTCTGAGCGAGCCTCTTATCTGGGAACAGTTTTATTACCTTCTTGCAGCCAGGAAATGACCCCACCTTCCAAGCCTGGTGTGGGACAGATGGCAGAACCCATCAGGGAGCGGTGCTAGGGACAGCTCAGAGAGCCACATACCAAGTGCTGTGAGAAGAGAGATCACAAGAGCTAGAGAGAGCCCCGGGGATGTTTCCAGCATGGAAGCTTCACTCCTACTGGGCAGGGAGGAGCAGAGGAGGAGGAAGCAGGCTGACTCAGGAATGTGGACTCCTCCTGAGTCAGGAGCTTGCTGACTGCCTCAGGAATGGGTGAAACAGAAGGAATATGGGCAGAAAAGCCACAGATCCACCAAGGACCATTAGGATGCCCCACCCTCCACCCTGTGCTGGTAATAGAAAGCCTGGATCTCCCTGAGATCTTCCCAGAAGAGCAGAAAAGGTGAAAGCTGGGCTCCCACTCTTTGGACTCTACAATCACTGCTGTCCAAGGAGCAGGGAAAAGATTGGTTAAAAATCTCCCATCCTTTGCACAGTGGAGAGCAGCGCTTCTGTGCTCCTACTAGAGAGAAGGATACTAAGCTCCTGGGGGAGGAGACATAATGGGGTGTGTTTGGGGAAGACTGTGGAAGAAACCACTTATCTTTTCTAACTTTTCTGCAGTTGTTGGCTGATGTCATCAGGCCTACTGAATTCAATCAGTCAATAAACATTAAGTACCTACTATGTGCCAGGCACTGTGCAGAAGGCTGGAGATACCAAAAGAGGCAAAAGACAGTCCCTGCCCTCAAGGAGCTTACAACCCATATTTAATATCTCCTTCCTTTACCCAGCTCCTAGGAGATTTCCTGAGTTTGGGGGAAGCTAAACTGAGAAGAAAAGTGAGCTAAGTCTGGGGCACTCCTTTTGCTAGTTTCTGTCCATGAAGAGTTCACCCAATCAAACAACATGGTCACCTAACTATAAACAACAGAGTGGTCCCAGCAGCCAGGCATTTATCTCACTTGCCTTATCTGTTGCTCCCTCCCTAATTTCCCAATCCCCTAATTGTCTCCAGGACTCTTCCCTCCTTCAAATTTCACATACATTTAACTCAACAAACATTTTATTAAGGTGCTCTGTTTGAGCAGACTATCCCCTACACCTTAGTTTACCCTGTGTTGTTCCTTCCTCTCCCCGGTGGGATTTTGAGGGAGGTGGGTAGGTAGGTCTTCTCGCCTGATTTTCTTTGGGGGATTCCTGTGCCCCATTTCAGAGTCTCTTATTAAGTGCTTACTAAGTGGAAAGCCTGGTGCTCTAATCTGCCCTAGGGAAATATAAGACAGAATCAGAAGCTTACTAGCCAAGAGGCAGCCAGGAGTGGTGGGTAGAATGGGGTACCTGGACTCAAAAAGACCCAAATTCAAATGCAGCCTGAGATATTTCCTAGTTGTGTGACCCTGGGCAAGTCACTTGATCTCTGCCTGACTCGGTCTCAACTGAAAAATGGGGGTAATAACAGCACCTATTTCTCAGGGCTGTTATGAGGGTAAAGGGAGATATTTGTAAAGGATTTGGCACATGGTAGATGCTTAATAAATGTTTGTTCCCATCCCACCTCCAACAACAGGAGAGACAAGTACATAAAAAAAGACTATAATGTAAATGAGAACACAAAAGACTGCAAAACAGATACAAATCCATTTCTGATTGATTCTTTTCCAAATAACTTACTTCAAAACTACAAAATGGGGGCAGCTAGGTGGCACAATGGATAGAGCACTGGCCCTGGAGTCAGGATGGACCTGAGTTCAAATCCAACCTCAGACACTTGACACTCACTAGCTGTGTGACCCTGGTCAGGTCACTTAACCCCACTGCCTAGCTAAAAAAGGGGAAAAATGCAAAATGGATTATAATAATAATTTAAAAATGAACCTTGATGCTCTGGGACACCAAAGGCCTATCAGCTTCCCCCTGCTTCTCATTCAGAAGTCAGATCAGGATGAGAATAGTCAAGCCTGAGCCTGCTTATGACAATCAGGCAACCAAATGTACTGAGGACCCACTCACTGTATTTATGAATCACTCGGTTCCTCCTAGATCAGTGGAAGTGAAGATGATGATAATTTCACTTCAATTCAATTAACATTTATTGAGCATCTACTATGTGCCAGGCACAGGAGACACAAAAAAGAGGCAAAAGACAGTCCCAGCCCTCAAAAAGTTTATAATCTAGTGATGATGAGGATAGCTAGCATTTATATAGCTTTTTAAAGTTTACAAAATGACCCCAGGCTAAGAGGTTGAGCATCTGGCCCAGGGTCACATGCAGAGGGGTGTGCTGGTAAATGAGTAACATAGTGGGGAGGTATATACAACACATTTGTAAGTTTAATCTTCATTATTAACATTTTCTCCATCACTTTCTTAACATGCCAAAATCTTAAATAAAACTGTAAATATGTAAGTATTTAGAGTGTGGTATAGTGGGTAGAAAGCCAGCCTTGGAGTCAGAAAGACTGCATTCAATTCCTGCTCCTAATAGATACAGTTCCTATGACCCTAGGCAACTGAACCTTTCCTAGCCTTGGGCAAATTTTTCTTCCTTCTTTTCTCTCTCTCTTTCTCTCTTTCTTCAACTGGGGTTAAGTGACTTTCTTTGAACTCAAGATTTGAACTCAAGTTCTCTTGACTCCAGGGCCAGTGCTCCATGCACTATCATACCACCTTCAAGCAAATTTCTTAAGACTAACTCTGTAACGTTATAAGTCCTGAATTTGTGAGTGTAGTTTTCCTGAAGTTTAGGGGTGCCAGGACCCTGAAATAGCGAGGCAGGTCCTGCCTCGAATGAATTCCACCCAAGCCTTCTTTCAGCCAAAGACAGGATTTATTAGAACACTGTTCAAGGTGGACATGATTCTAAAAAGACACCATATTGACCAGACTCTTAAGGAAGATAAGCAATTTAATGGAGGGCTAGATGGACCTTATGCACAGAAAGACTGCAGAAAGGAGGGGAGGGGAGGGAGTGACCAGAGGCTGGGGTGACTGGGAGGTAGCCGGGAGCTCCAGGAACCTGTCCTAAGTGGCCCAGGGAGAAAGAGGTCTAGATAGAATTAAGGCTGGGAAGTGGCCAAGGGCAATGGGGAGATAACAGAAAAGGAAGGTTGGGCTGGGTTAGAGGTAACTGAGAATAGGGAGATTGGGCATAAACCACAAAGACAGGGCAATTGAGAGGATTACTGGAATAGGCTGAGGCGGGAGACTTGACCTCCAGAGAAAATTCAAGGAGAGCTCAGGGTGGGGTGGGGGGGTTTCCCAGAGCCAGTACCCAGTTAGTTTCTTCACCAGAAATTTCCTGTAACAATGAAATCACAGACATAGGCCTCTATCCCCCTCCCCCCTCTGCAAAAGCCACAAATATTAACATTCTAATTATTAGGTGAAAGAAGCATGGCATGATAGAGAGCTGGTTTCAGAATCAGGAAGTCTTGGATTCAGATCCCACCTCCGATACATACTGGCTCTATGACCCTTGGTTAGTCAACCTCTCATTGCCCTCTGAGGATTTTTTACAGCTTTAAAAGTTGGAGAGGCATTGCATATTTGCTTTGGTAGAAGGAATTTCCTTGATGTGACTGCTTTATAAAACCACCAAGTCCAGTTTTCTTTTAAGTATTAATATTCACACACAAAAAATTACAAATCCAAATACCAGAGCTTTTTTTTTACTACCTAGTATCTTTGGTTTATTTATGTGTTGATGCCCCTGCACTAGATTAGACAACGATCAGGTCCATAATTATGAACTCTAATTCCTGTGACAAATTGGGACGGGGGAGACTTGGGGCACAGTTGTTTGCCCTTCATTCTCTCTCTCTCTTTTTATTTTTAGGCAATTAAGGTTAAGTGACTTGCCCAGGGTCACACAGCTAGTAAGTGTCAAGTGTTTGGTCTGAGGCCAGATTTGAACTCAGGTCCTCCTGACTTCAGGGCCGGTGCTCTATCCACTGCGCCACCTAGCTGCCCCTTTTGCCCTTCATTCTCAAAGAGGACCAAGATGTGGTGCCACGACTTGCAAAGGAACTAGATTTAAATAAGGGAGCACAGTGCAAAGGTCAACAGACTCATTTTCTCCTCCTGGGGGGATAGTATTAAGAAGACTGAGTGGGGGCAGTTCAGGCACCAAAGAATCTAGTTCCAGTCTCCATTATACAGCCAATCTGATGTGGGGGGCAAAGAGTGCCCTAGGATTAAAAATAACCTTAAGGGTTGTGTGTGGGATGCACTGAAATTAAAAATAAGACAAAACACAGAGGTGTCCAAGGAGAAATGGAAAGTTAATTTATTATAGTTATAATAATAATAATAATTATTATTATTTCAAATCTCGAGATTTGGGTGTCCCCACATCAGTGGCTCTGATGAGAGGAGACGACGCGCAGAAGCAGAAGTCAGTTTAAATAACCCTGATGGTTGAATCCCCCTCCTTCCCCCAACTGTCCGTTAATTTGGCTCACAATCTCCCACTCAGGACTCTAACATAAGACAAAGGACATAGCATACATCCCTAGATTTCTTAGTTTGTTGAGATAATGTCAAAGAAGCAATGAGAAATGTGCAGTTAGGCTAGACTTTGTACTGTGGAGCCAGTTTACCATAAAAGATAATTTACAATTGTTTTGGAAGGTCTTAGAGATTGAACAGACAATGAAGAGAACTGGAAGACATCTGAGTAAGATCCAGTCAAAGGGAGATAAGGGGAGTAGATAAGGAACCTTTTAAGGGTTTTCTGGAGCCAGATTCTTTTTAGGGGCAAAGACACATTTGAATAAGATTAAAAAGTAGGTTAAGGCTTAACCACTAGACAAATTTTAACTACTGATATATGGCACTAAAAAAAAACTTACAGAAATCTATTCTTAACCCTATCCTACCTTCTGAACTCATTACCTTAATTACACTGAGAAGTCTTCACTGGGACATCCCATTCAGTTGCTTCCCCAGGCTCCTGAGGGGATTAGAAGATAAGTTTTCCATTTACAACCTGCACCAAAAAGAATTGCCTTTGTTTCCCTTATCTTGAGATGCCATAAAACTTCCCCCTGTCCTGGACCATAAAAAGATCCTTGTCTCCCTCATCCTGAGTCATGAAATTTCCCAAAATCCTTATCCTGGGTCCCCTATCCTGTCATCCATCTTCCTCATCCTATGTCATGAAAACCCCTCCCCTTAT